ACCACTCCTATGCTGTTTTACTATTTCACTGTTTCGAGGTTCCCCCATGGCCCCCCAAGACCAGCAGGGGCCTGTCCCTGCGTGAACCTGGGCGAACAGTTATTGTGACAGTGTCAAGCCCCCCCCAACTCTGTCACCACTGTCCCATGGTGTGTTTTCAAGATTCCCTAGAACGACCATTTCCCTTGATTGGACCTGGAACAGCAATGTACAAAACTTTGCAGCACCTGTGCAAAAGTATTAATTCTTTTTAAAAAATAGATTTTTGTGTATTTTGGGTCACTTTAGGAAAAGTCATCAAATTTCAGGTGAAAAGAATGACATGTAGAGTATTTTTACTGCTGTCAAATGTCAAACAGTATGTGAGGGTTAAGAAAAGTAGTCTGCAGCTTTTCCTCATGACAGGAAAGAGAAAGGAGAAGAAAAAGAGAAAGTCTTCCTGTTTCTGCATATCAACAACCTTCACACGCTTTGTAGAAACACACACTTGTCTGAAACATTGAAACTGTGTGGACCAGACAGATGCTCCGTGTCACATTTGCACAGACTACAGGAGAGAGAGGGACCAAAAATCTCAGCAAGAACTGCTCTGGAACTTTAAAGGGACTTCACTGACACATCAGAAACATTAACAGGTCAGTAGGAAAACCTTAAAGTGTATTTATTACAGTAAATCAGGCAGAACATACTTACAAATTTTGAAATTTATTGTAAGAAATAAGAATATAAATGTAACAGCTACTGTTTTTAGTCACGGTATATTGTATATTGTTTTTTATATCAGAATCAGAATCAAAATCAGAAATACTTTAATAATCCCAGGGGGAAATTATTTATATATATATATACATATATATATTATATATATAACATGTCTCAATGCAAATCGAACATGTGCAAAATATGTCTGCAAAACTGCAATGCTGTTATATTAGACAGCTTTAACACAACACATGTTCATGTGTTTTGTTGTTATTGTTTTATTTTTGATGATTTTTGGGAACATATTGTGAACTTTCTCTTGTATTTTTTAGACAACACTCATGGAGAGAAATACAAGTTTCTCGCTGTTGTCCGGCAATCACAGCCACTCCAACAGCACTTGTTCCCGTGACAACGTTCTGAAGACAGTGGTTTTTCCTGTTCTCTACTCCTTCCTCTTCCTGGTGGGGCTGTCACTCAACAGCGTGGCTGCGTGGGTGTTTTTTCGCATCCCCTCAAAGTCTCACTTCATCATATACCTGAAGAATATTGTGGTTGCGGATATCATTATGACCTTCACGTTCCCTTTCAAGGTTTGGTTTGACTATTACTATTTACTTATAAAGCACACTTTATAGAGGGTTTATGAGTTGTAACTAATGGCTTTATTAATGGTTATTAAACCATTTGTAAAGGATTAGTTATGTGTTGTTCATAAGGCAACGTTTTGTTTGCTAGGTTGTGAAAAATCTCTCTTGCTGATAAGCCATTCATTTCTAAGTCATTAATAAAGTCCACCATTAACTTTTAAACAAAATATACTGTATGGCTTGAATTTGAGTGTTCATCAGTAAAATGTGAAATGTGTTTCTGCAGATTTTATCGGACTCCAACATGGCTTCCACTGGGCTGCGTGTATTCGTGTGTCGAGTTTCCTCGGTGCTCTTCTACCTTACCATGTACATCAGCATCCTCTTCTTCGGCCTCATCAGCATTGATCGCTGCAGGAAGACCCTCAAGCCCTTTAGGGGGACTAATGCAGCCCGGCTGACCCGTCGTAAAATACTTTCAGGAGCCATATGGGCCTTTCTGCTGGTTCTATGTCTGCCCAACGTCATCCTGACAAGTAAAACCCCGACTTCTCCATATTTCAAGTGCGGTGACCTGAAGACACAAGCTGGACTGTACTGGCATGAGGTGGTAAATCATGTCTGTCAAGTTATTTTCTGGGGCAACCTGGTGACTGTAATAATATGCTACACTCTAATCACCAAGGAGCTGTACAGATCCTACTCCCGCACTAAGTCCCAGAGCGCTGGAGGGACCATATGTCAGGCGCCGAGTAGGGCGACAACTCGGAAGCCCGGCCAGGCCAACAGAAAAATGAGTGCAAATGTGTTCCTGGTTCTGGCAGTGTTCTTTGTGTCCTTTGTGCCATTCCACTTTGCCCGTGTGCCATACACCTTGAGCCAGACCCGAGGGGTTCTCTTTGACTGTAAACTCAAACTCTTCTTCTTTCAGCTAAAGGAGAGCACACTCTTCCTCTCATCCTTAAACTCTCTTCTGGACCCTCTCATCTACTTCTTCCTCTGCAAGTCCTTCAGGACCACTTTGTTTAAGACCCTGCAGCTGCCTCCTGGTACCTGTGCCTGGCTACTAAGAAGAGAGTCGGACACAGATACAGGCGTCACCCCTCTGAGAGACTCCTCTGCCAGTACATAAAACCACTGGACATGATAAAGACATTTTTCAAATGTGCAGGTTCTGTATTATAAATACAGTAGGTGACAGACATTGTGATCTTTTGTAAATATCTTTTGTATTTTGTATAATCAGTATGTTGACTCAGTCCTAGAGACATAAATGAAATGTATATGTGTATTTGTGTTTACAATTATCACAAAATCATAATTCACAATTTTAAAATGATCAACTTAAACTCATTATGCAAACTTTTCTATTGTCTGTGGAAAACAGACAATAAGAGAATTGCCTGTAGGAGAAGTTAAAAGTACATAGATTTTTTTTATATTGTTAGTGTCAAACTTGATGAATTGACACTGGTATGTTTTGAGGGTTTGTTTTCCTTTCCGTTCTCTATTTCAAATGATAACATTACAGTTCCTCTTCTATGTTTTCACATACACTAATCTTGAAAAGAAGAAATGTGACTGAAAATGAAACTCTCGTGGACATCCACAGTATTCCTCTAAAATAACCTACCTGTATAATAAACCTCAAGTCATACATATGCCAATGCACTGGGATCCCTTATTGTTGCATGAAGGTATAGTTGTGTTAGCCCTGACTGACTATTCAGAATAATCAAACCGTATAGCAGTGTATACACAATGTTTGTCACAATGTTATTTCACGGTGTGTCACAATGTTATTTCTGCATACACTTGTTGGGGGGGGGGGGGGGGGGGGGGGGGCGGTTCCATGGTTGGTGTTGTTACTTTGCAGTTCTGCTACAACCGCATAGCTAAAAGATTACGGCCTTCCAGTTTGACAAAAAAATCACAATGAACAACGAGAAAGGATTTATTGTTTTCATTCATTATGATGATTTGTTGATAAATGGTGGTTTGGGCCATTTTTTGCCGTTTCTCAGTTAAATGTAGGATTCACTTCACTCAGTTACGGTAAAATTGCCAACTTAGCTCTAATCAGTGGTTCTCATTATGGTTCACATCTAAAAATAGCATTAATGATATGTTTGTGAATAATTATAAATCCTCCAATATAATAATAATAATAATAATAATAATAATAATAATAATAATAATGTTTAATCCAATATAATTATATATATTGGATATAGATGTATAGAGACCAGACACAAAGCCACCTGGATTTCATGTTCAATCACAGAGATTAATGATTTAATGTAGCATGAAAACAAATGGTTTACCACAATCTATGTTATTTGAATCCTCTCTACCCCACAGCAGCGGCAGCCCTCTTCATAGATTTGCATTTCTCTGGTTAATACACCGACACTCTTTGGTAATTCATCTTGTGAAGGTGTCAATCCCCAAGGCTACACGGTGTGGAGTTAAGGAGAAAGCCTTTGTTGGTGAGTCTAATATTCTGTTTTGTTTCACAACATTTTGGGGGAAAATGTTTTTTTAGAGTAGCTTAAGAGGTGATTGAAGAAATCGAACTTACTTATTGGTTATAAGGTTAGACTGAACATGAAATAGCTTGAGAACATCTCGGCATTGCTTTAATATGGTTTAGTAAGTATATTTATGTAGGTCCATAGCTGAGAGGCTATCAGGTCAGTGAACTTTCTCAAAATGAAAACTGTGATTTCTCTTTAGAGTGAGAGAAATATCTTAAAATGTACTAATTGGGTGTGATTGGTCAAAAAAATATTATTATTATTAAGATTAAATCTAATTGCTCAGAAGCTTGATTTAGCTTATCGTTTCATTAAAATCAAACTACTGTGTTGCCACTATAAGTTAGTTATTATCACTGTCAAAGTTGATTCTCTGAACAGTATATTCACCCTTAATATCATTCTATATTTAATTGAACGAATGTATAAAATGTGCTGATGAGCTGAATCTACATAAAACTCTTACTGATCACACTTATTAAAAGCATTTGAAGCAACTAAGATCTATTGTGCAGAAAGAACTGTGACTCAATACCAACCCTTAAACTTGGTAGATTCTGTGTCATATATTCAGTGTGTGTCTATGTGCTCAAAATAATAGAATCCAGTTGTAATAATATGGTGAAAACAAATCCAACAATTGCAAAACTTCTATCATTCTGTGTCAAAAGTGTCAGGTTCCCCATCCAGGATGCATTCAAATGCTCTGGTGGAGCATTCAAAACCAAATCATAGTAACAAATGTGTTTTCAACTAATGACAAATGCAAAACAGGTCCAACTGAGCAAGTAGAAAATATTTAAAGCACTTCTCAGTCTCTAACGAGTCCTGGACCTCACCTCAGCCCATTAACTAAATCCCTACTACCTGGAAAACTGGATGTTATTCTCTTACGTCACTAAATGTTCATCCGATACATAAAATGCAGTTGTACCCTTTGTAGCAATTAATCAAATCTGCTCATTTTATTTCCAAATTTGTTGAAACATAGTGAAGAAACATGAATCAGAAGCAAAATATGTGGATGTGGCTCTGGTCTGCGGGCCTACAGAACTCACTGCTTATTTTCTATCCTACGAGCTGATCACAGATGTACAACAGATGAACAAAGAGCTTTTCTTTCATGCTTGTTTTCTTTATTCCAGACTTTATGATGGCATCCAACAACACAGCATTCTTCTCTGCTTGTGCCTCTCTCAGCCTTGAGACCGTCAATGTGGTGGTCTCGTTTTTTTACCTCTTTATGTTCCCCACTGCGTTACTGCTCAATGGGGTGGCGGCGTGGGTGTCTTTGCACCTCCGGTCCACCTCTACCTTCATCGTGTATCTCAAAAACCTGGTGGCTGCTGACCTGCTCATGACACTGACCCTCCCATTGATGGCAGCCAGCAAGCTACCTGGAGCAGCGATTGAGTTACGGGTGTTTAGCTGCCGTTACTTTGATGTCATTTTCTACAACTGTTTGTACACAAGCATTGCTTTAATGGGTCTTATCAGCCTTGACCGATTCTTCAAAATTGTTAGACCATGTGGAAAGGTGTTAGGACAAAATGTGGTCTTCAGTCTTGTAATGTCCACCTTGGTTTGGGTGGTGTTGTTTGGCACAACAGTCATACCAACTATCATTCTGACTAACCGGGATCCTGATAACACAACAGATGATTTATGTATGTCCCTGAAAAGTCCAGCTGGTCAGTCTTTTCACAAGTATGTGGTTCTGTCTATGGAGATTCTCTTCTGGATTGTTAGCATACTGATTGTGTTTTGCTACATCTGCATCACCCTGAAAGTCTTGAAGTCCTTCAGAAACTCCGGGAGCAACAATAGCCAGGGAAAGAAGAAGACCAAGCTGCGAGTCTTCTTGATCCTCCTTGTGTTTTTTGTGTGTTTTGTGCCTCTTCATGTGATGCGTATTCCATTCACACTAGAGGAAATCTTTGACATTGATACCTGTGCTCAAATGTGGGTGTTAATAGTCCATAGATTTGTCCTGTGGGTCTCTACCACTAATGCCTGCCTGGACCCTATTCTCTACATCTACCTGTGCAGGGAGTACAGAGACAAACTGGTCGACTTGATGAAAGCTGGAGGGGTCTGTGTCAGGTTATATTCTGGGCAAAGAGAGCAGACTTCCCAGTAGAGAGGAAGTCAGTTATTAGTCAATACATGTTGGATATAATTATTTTAGAGACAAATAAGATGTCTTCAGTCACAAATTAGGGTTTTGTTTTCTTGTATGGACAAAACGGAATAAGTTAAGTAGCAAAAGAGCTTTTAGAAGACTTGCAGTAACTTGTCAGTTTTATGTTGTACTGCCCTCTAGTGACCTAATGAGGATTATCATCTGTTGAGACTAAAGGGATACTAAGAGAAACGAGGTAGAAACATGACTTATGATAAATGTGTTGATTTCATTGCAAAAAATACACTGCAAATAAATTATTATATTCTAAATCAAGTTAGTTCAGCCGTTTGAACACACATATACTGTTGTTAATATGTTAAATCTCAGTAGTCATGTTTATTATTATTGTGTATAGTATATTGTGTATTAGTACTGTGTGTGTATATATATATATATATATATATATATATATATACAATCTCATATTGAGGTGTTATTGTGAGACCTATATCAATAAATCTGAGTTTGAAGTTGTCTTTTGTCTTGTTTTTATGTGATGGGGTCACTGCAAATACAGCTACTCTGAGTAATGATGTAACTCTCCCATAGGTTTTTAATGGGGAATCTAAATGAACAGTATAATAAAATAATTATATTACAAAAGAGTGCATTTTTTCTGCCTTAGTATAAATGTGTTCACAAGCTTTTGGTTTATTATTTCAAGAGCTAAAATAAATGGTGACATAAATCTTTCCACAACTATTCTCATAAATCCTATACCCAAATTTAATAACTTCTCTGCTTAAAAGCATTGTTCAGTTGCCAAAAATACATTTGAATTTCTTATATCCAGTTTGGCCACATTATATTATTTAATTTCAACAATGTCTTCCTCAGTGCCAAGCAGTGGAATAAAAATTTAAATAAAATACCAATATACCCACTTTGTTGGTAACCACAGCTCACTACGATGCTGCTCAGCAACAATAGTTTTGGTCACCAATACACACTAACACAATAAATATTTGTTTTGTTTAAGTAGACAATACGCTCTAGTATCCACCTGTAGGACTCTTTGTTTGGCTTCAATAGCTGAGGCCACCCTTTGGTCAGATGATTCCACTGCACCAGAATCAGCTCCTGAGTTCTTGTATTAACTGGTGCAATCAATCAATTTGCAAATTTACAAGTAATAAGCAGAAAAAACAAATGAAGAGCACAAAAAGAGAGAATATAACTTGTCCACTTAGCTTTTTTTAATTAAAGAATCATCAGTTGTTGCTACAGTATTTATTTAAAATTTGTTTTCTTCTGCCAGCAATAAATAACACCATGATGGTAAGCAGGGAAACAAATGCTGTGTATTTAGCCTTTCAAATGATGCTCAGAAGTAAGGGCACATCAATGTGAGGAACATTTGCTATGCTAATGACTGAGAACGTATATCATCACACATATAGTTCAGGTGCTCTTGTCTCTAAAGAACTTTTGTTTACTTTTATCAACTCCACCTTAATTGTGAGACCACAGCAGTGGTGTCTGAGGTTCATGTACAGGCTTAAGGAAGTACACCCCCCCCCCCCCCCGAATCCAAGCCTTCACCTTATCCAGTCTCTGCTCTAGGTGGCTTTTGGACTGTGGGCTGTTTGCATATGTCATGATAAATTGCCAGTCTTACCACAGCTGAAATGTTGATTTGTTTGCTAGGTAAATCAACAGTGTTTCTCAAACACCTATCATGTTATTGCTAAGTCACACAGGTCCATCATGCAGCTTTGTGTTGGAGAAGAGTGAGGAAAGACATCACCTGTAAGTTGGTAAGACATTTTCTTATTTACATTATTAGTTCATAATGTAGAATTTAGAATTTCGGTAAAGAAATTCATTTTGTGAACTCTGTGTTCTGCAAAGTTAAATGGAGACTTGTTGAAAATAGATGTAAATCTTTGAACTAACGGCCAGTGTAAGGTTGCCGTGTATTTAATTTAAGTTACTTATCCATCCACTCTATATTGTGAAATAATACATCGGCCAGGTTTTGCTTCATTCAGAATTTTTATACAAATGTATTCAAACGTTTTTGGCTAGGGTTAGAAGATTATGGACATGGGAGTTCATGTGTTAAAACTAATTTACAAAATGAATAAACCAGCTTCAGTTTGATTCTCTGAAGTGCACAAAAATGGAAATAATTGTTTGAACCCATATAACAGTGAATACATTTTTTTAAAGATTGTATACAAGAGAAGTCTGATTTATAATAGAGAATGTTTTAAAGGAAAGATTGCTTTAAAAAAAGAACGAGCTGTTCCCTTTTCTTTGCTTAGCATGCAACCTTGACTCGGATAAGCGACTGACAATGGATGAATGGATGCATCTTCCTTTTGACACTGACCAGCAAAGTGAGTGGGAAACCAAAGAGAGAAACCACAACCCTGATCTTATGAAAATGGAAAAGTTAATCCAGACTGCTATTTGCTGTTGAGTAATTTCTCTTTGACTGTGGGACACTATTAGAACCATATTATGTATGCATATGTAATGTAATACTGCACACATTCAAAGTTTAAAATGTTAGAAATGCATTATTTATAGCCTTTAAGATGATGTTTCTTTTGAATTATGGGTTCTAAAATGAATTTTAAACTCTTTCATTTTCCTCAGGTGAAGGGATGCCATTGAACCAAACATCTAACAATGGCTCCGATTGTGACGGTTTCATTTACAACCCAAACGTTGTCCCAGCTCTCTACTTTCTGATGTTTCCCATAGCTTTGTTGCTGAATGGTGTGGCAGGCTGGGTGTCTCTGCACCTCGAGTCCACCTCCACCTTCATGGTGTACCTGAAAAATCTAGTCACTGCTGACATTATTATGACCTTGATCATCCCAATCACAGCTGCAAGTGACTTGCCGGGTGCGTCAAACAAATTAGTCATCCTTTCATGTTATGTTAGTCCCATTTTCTACAGTACGCTTTACACATGTATCGCTTTGTTGGGCGTAATAAGCCTGGACCGTTTCTTCAAGATCATGACCCCCCGCAGCAAGTTGTTTGGTAATCTGACCTTTAGCATAGTGGTGTCAGGCACAGTCTGGGCAATACTGTTTGGAAGCTCAGCTTTACCAAATATAATTTTAAGTAACAGATCAGTGGCCAATGGGACAGAGATCAGCTCTTGTATGAACCTGAAAGGACCGGTTGGACTTGAAATCCACGAAAACATTGTAATTTACCTGAATGTTGTCTTCTGGCTCGTCAGTGTGGTCATTGTGGTTTGCTACATTTGCATCACTAACAAGGTAATCCAGTCCTTTAGAAACTCTGGCAGCAATAACAACCAGGGAAAGCAGAAGATCAAACTACGTGTTTTTCTGGTTGTCATTGTGTTTTTTGTATCATTCGGACCATACCATTTTGTTAGGATCCCATACACCTTTCAACAAGTCAACTATTCTTCCAATACCAACTGCGCTTACTTAAAGGGCAGGTTTGCCAAAGAATTCAGCCTCTGGTTTGCCACCACAAACATCTGCATGAACCCTCTTCTCTACATCTTTCTGTGTAGGGAGTTCAAGAAGAAACTGATGTCTATGATGAAAAATGTGTCTATCTAATTCCAAGCAGCCTCAGCAGGCACTTCACCACAGAGCAGATTCTGACAGAGGAAATGAAAATGTGATGGACTGAGCCCAGATGTTTTTGTAGTCTAAATGTCAGATTTTGGTTTCACATGTAAATGCTATTTGCTGCATTTACTTTTTAAACCCATATAACAGTTGCCTTGTGCTGTTTTATGTCTTGTCAAAGTGTAGCTCTAAATAGCTTGAGAGCCAAACAGGAAATACAATAAGGATGGATGAGATAAACAGCACGAGACAAGAGGGTGATAGGCTGTTTTTATGTTTTTTAAACACAGTTTTATAGTAGCTCTAGAAATTCAAAATCAGAATGCAAATAGAGTAGGAGAGACTGTAAATGAAGCTGCCATGCAAAGCAATTTAAGCTGACGCTAGTTAACATTTGCATCTCACACTGAAGTTGTATATGTGTGTGGTAACAGTAAAACAAATCCTTAATTGGGTGCTGCAGATAGGTGTGCAATAGGTGTGTGTCAATCAAAAATGTGTTAAACTGTAAAACAAATAAAGTGTTCTGTTAATCTATAAATTGTTATAATCAACAAAAAAAATGCTCTGCTCAGCGTTATTTAAGTTTTTTTTACCACTGATTTGCTAAGTTTGTGGTTCTTCAGCAGAAAACTGCTGGAAAATGTGGTAATGTGAGGAGGTGTCATTAGGTACAGTGTGATGTAATTCCAGATAATTGCTGTTGTGGTTATTTGTAAAAACTGAAAACCACATTTTTGTGTCATTGTCATTTGAAACAGTTACTGTCACATAGGTTGAGAGTTCACTTGAGGGGCTCATGGTTAACACGCACGTTTCATTTCTCAGAATGTTCCCCACTGGTCATAAGTCCTGGCCAAGATACAAGTAAAACCACACAGGAAATCATGTTGTGTTCCTTTTTTATCTATTTTTATCAAGATAGTACAAAAGGGAATTAAACTCCAAGAAAGGAAAACTTCAGATATAAATGGAAGGGTAAATTCAATCTTATACTGTACTTGTCAGAGTTGACAGTAGTTACAATATATGCTATCTTAAAAATAAACGAATAGAAAATTACATTGTTAAATAACTTTTGTTTTCATGATTTGCATGTATGGTGAAGGAGCTCAATTGCACTACAAACACAAATAATGAAAAGTCAGTGGCACAATATGCCCATCATTCTCGCCCACTGTTTTTGTCTCTCTGGTTGGTGAGAGTCTCGTGATGAGAAAAGACAGAGAGATAGAGGTGGGGTAAATAAGCTGCAGGATGGAGGGAGGAGCAGCGGGTGTGCAGCGAGAGGTCTCTATATGTGGGTCGAGAAATGAGTCCATGGCTTTGGTGTTAACAGCTACTGAGACTGACGCAAGCTAGCAGAGGAAGGGGGACTGGCACGGA